ACTTTTATTGTGCGAAAAATGCTGTTCATATCCGTGTTTGTTTTCTGTAACATTAACGGACAGATGGCGTTATTGAAATGTGTTATCGTCGTCGTTCAATGAAATTGGGTCACAGCGATGATATGTTAATGCAAATGTGTGTTTGAATTGATGCGACAAAAAACAGTAATGCACAAATCTTTTCGTTACAATAGCGAAACTAAAGGTGAAAAACTGAAATACCGAAAGATACTGTAAGACATAATTTGTGAGAAAGAAAAACGGTTTTCACTTGTACTACCAGCCCTTATAAAAACTACTTTTAAAAATCTAAGAGCATAGATATTAAGAAAAAACTGATTAAACATAGAAGCTGTATGAGCCAAATAACACATAGAAAGTTATTGTGAACAAAATACTGTGGTTGTTCCAAAAAAAGCGAAGAAAAAGGACTTACTTTCATTATAACTAAGTAATTGGTAATGTCGACCGACATCAACCGGAGCCCCCAAAATACTGAAAATCTGGAGGTACCGTTATATGGACATAACGTGGACCTATATGCGCAATGTTCCGCCACCGGAGCCCCCAAACTACCGAAAATCTGGAGGTACCGTTATATGGACCAAACGTGGACCTATTTGCACAATGTTCCTCCACCGGAGCCACCAAAATACCGAAAATCTGGAGGTACCGTTATATAGACCTAACGTGAACCTATATGCACAATGTTCTGCCACCGGAGTTAGAACCCAGTACGAAATACATTTTTTTAGACAAATGCATGGAAAAATATTAAAATACCGAATATCGGGAGATACCGTTATATGGGGGCTATACGAAAACGTGGACCGATATATCTCATTTTCAATACCAACCATCCTAACCACCCACCCACCTCAATACAAATTGTTGCGCCACATTTTAAATCTCTACGTCGAATAATGTAGTCTGTATCGTGATTTCAACAGGCAGGCCGACAGACGGACAGACAGGCAGACACACAGAAGGACATCGTTAAATCGACATAGAATTTTATGGCAATCATAAATATATATGGGGTCTATGACGAATATTTAAAGGTGTGACAAATTTAATATAGCCTCCATTCCAAGGTGATGGGTGTAAAGACAAGTTAGACTTCTATCGAGATGTCCAATTTCTATGGGAGTCTCAAAATATACATTTACTAGAGATGACCTGAAAGCGGCTGTCTATATATGGAAGCAATATAAAGAAGAAGTATACAATGCCTTCCTTCCATCTAAAGAATGCCGTTTATTTATAAAAACATCTGGTCTTCTACCTACATAGAACCTTTAAGGCAGGAATCCTATTTTACTTTCTGCCTTCAAGAGAAGGAACTTAAAAAATCTGCTATATCTAGAAGAGCACTTAAGAAAATCTAGAAGTCCTGAAGAAGGAATATATGCAAGGTCTCCTACCATGCCGAACATTTAAAGACATGATATATTAAAAATTTTCTATCTATAAAATGTGCTCTGTAATCATTTTGAAAAAAAAACTTCAATTTTAAAACTCAAAATGATTCCATAATTACCTCTCCAATCCCAGCATCCTCTATTCTCAATTAAAATCAAACTACTTCCATTCTACTTTCAAGTGATTGCATATTTTAATAGTTTTCCAAGCTATGTTAGCAATGTTATGTTTATTTCTTTACATTTAAAGATTCTTAAAGAAATTGACTTAAATAACAAAGGAGAATCCCCCCGTTCATGGTGGCTATGGGACACAATATCCATATTCATTTCCAAAAAAAAAACAAAAACAAAAAACAGAACCAAAAATTTAAATGCATCGTCAACGTCAGCGGCGGCATCATCATCGTCGTCGTCCTCGTCAACATCATTTTTATGATCATCCAATGAGAATTGGGGCCATCTCAGCTGTGTGGCACAAAACAAAATCACAAAATCATCTGCATCAGCTGCAGCAGCTCAATATTTGTGCTGGGTGGCTGGCTGGCTGGCTGGCACGACTTCATGTACTTCACAGGGCAGCATTGGGAGTGAAAAACTGAAACTGAAAGAAAGTGTCGGTGCGGCACAGTGGTGTTTGTGCCTGCAACCTCTGGCTCTTCCTTGCTCTCTCTGTCTCTCCCACTCTCCCTCTCTAATCAATTATAAACGTTTTATGGCTTTATTCAGCATTTCAATGATAACCTGAATGCAAAACACACAAAAAGAATGGCAAACAGAAATAAAAATAAAGAAGAAGAAGAAGAGAAAGGAAAGAAAAAACAACAAAAAGAATATTTTAAATTCTTAATTTAACAAAAACACACACACAGAGAAACAGTGAAGCCCCCCATGGGGTAGCAGAAATGTAAACCCAGTGAACAGATGTTTTTAAAAAATGTGACGAAAGATTAAACAGCTGACTTTAAGGACTTATAGCTCGTCCAAATTATTACCCAACCATAAACAACCATTACATATCATCTGTCAATTCCATTGTGTATACGCCAAGTGAAATCCACTGGATTTAAAAGCCGATTTGGTTTGACGTATAACGTTTAAATGTGGTCTTCTAGTTACACCCGGATCTATTCATAGAACAGGTCTCGTGTTAATAAAATGTTAGAAGTTGTGAAATATGAAAAAATTGGATGCTCGTTTCAAATTTTATTATAAATACTTGATGGAGTTTGCCGATATTGTACATTTTCGCACATGACCTAAAACTAACAGAAATATTGGGGCTTTCAAAGTTAGCACAAAATCGAATGATCCTTCCTGTTTCTCTGGGGTAAATTATGTCGATGTCGATCTATTTTTTGACAATAATATTACGATGTGCCAAGTTTGAACCTAATCGGATACTCCCTTCGAGAATTATAGTGTGCACCAACCAGACGGACACCCATATAACGACTCCAAATGTCCTGAAACGGATGTGGTCCAAAAAGGCCTACTGTCTAAAAACTGTTCTTTCGATAAGGCACGTTTTGTCCGTATCGAATGATATATACCCCTGTGAACCCACTGTAGACAAATGGTTCTCACTCTCTCTCAAAAAAATAAAATAAAATAAAATCCAGGATTTTACATAAAAAAAAATATTTACAAAAAAATAACAAATATTTAAAGAACACATAAAATACAGGATTTTATAAAAAAATATTTTTTAAAAATTTTCATGATTAAACATGCTATAAATGTTATTTTTTTTTTAATTTTTAATGTATCTATCTTCAGTGAAAGAGATATAAAAAATTAAAAAAATCCACCTTTAAACAAACATTTTTAGAGGTCCACGTTAAAAAAAATAAAAATCCAATTTTTTAAAAAATTAAAAATCCGCGTCTAAAAAATATTTTTAAAAATCTATGTTTTTTTTTTTTTTTTTTAAATCCACGTTTAAAAAATATTTTTAAAATTAAATGCGTAGAAAGTCTAATTTTCTAAATATCTAAAATAAAAAAATTGAAATAGATCCACGATTAAAAATATTTTTAAACTCAATTTGTGGAAAAACTAAATTTCTAAAAATCTAAATTAAAAAAAATAGAAATAAATCAACGTTTAAAAAATATTTTTAACACACCACGTTTAAAAACATTTTTAATACTCAAGTTTAAAAAAAAACTAAATTTTTAAAAAATCGAAATAAAAAAAAATTTAAATTCAAAATTTTAAAAATCCACGTTTAAAAAATATTTTTAAAAATCTATGTTTTAAAAGCTGTTTTTAAAAAGTATTCTTATAAATCCACGTTTAAAAACTATTTTTAAAAATCCACCTTTAAAAACTATTTTTAAAAATACGGCCCCAAATGGTGTATAATTCCGACCTGTAGATCAACTGCAAAATCAGGAAATTTTTTTTTTTTTTTGGTCCATTTCAACCCCTAAATATTTTGCGATCGTCTCCTAAAGCAATGGGCTTCTATTTTGGCCTTAGCACCTTTTCCATTCTAAATTTCGTGGAGATCGGGCCATAATTGCGACCAGAAGAGTGATTACAAATTAACATGGACAGACGGACGGACGGACATACATAGCTAGATCGACTCAACTCAGCGAGTGAGAAACCAATATTTCGAGGTGTTACATAATTGTTGGCCCACTAGCCCCAACACATAGTGTTGTAGGGTATAAAAATAAAAAATCCATATTTAAAATCTTTCAAAAATTTAAATTCAAAGAAAATTTAAAAATTTTAAATCTAAAAAAATATCTTTTCAAAATCCACGTTTAAAAATGTTTTTTAAAATCCACATTTAAAAAATAATTTTTAAAAATCCAAATTTTAAAAATAATTTTTTTAAAAATCCACGTTTAAAAAATAGTTTTTAAAAATTCAAATTTAAAAACGTTTAAAAAAAATATAAAATCCATTAAAAAAATAAAAATTTACGTTTAATAAATATTTTGAAAAATCCACGTTTAAAAAATATTTTAAAAAAATCGTTAAAAGTCCATTTTTAAAAAAAGTTCACAAAATCTGAATTAAAAAAAATATGTTTTCTAAAAATCCACCTTTGAAAAACATTTTTAAAAATCATTTTTAAAAAATATTTTTAAAAATCCACTTTAAAAAATTAAAGTCAACATTTAAAAAATTAAAAATCCATGCATAACTGCACGTTTAGGCAGAGTTTTCAGAAATCCACTTTTGGAAATTGCAGGATTCAGGATTTCAAAAATTTGAAATAATTTTAAAAGTCATGTGGTTTTTGAAATCCTGAATTCTGAAATTTTCAAAAATGGATTTCTGAACACAAAAATACGATCTCGCAGTTTTTGAAAAATAATATTTCAAACTCCGCAATATTCGGTCCAAGATATTTAAAATCCCTATTTCAGCTGCAATGGTACTCATCAAAGGATTTCCCTGGTCCCTGTTGTGACAGATACACATAAATCCCAAAAATACGTAAAAAATTGTTCACTGGGTATATTGGAAAACTAAAACCATTTCAGAATACTTCACCATGCTACCATGACTATGGCCTGCTGATGCTCATGCTACTACCACTGCTGCTACTACACTTACCTCATTGCATTGTTCCTCTTTAACCGTTAACATTTGCTTGCAACAGGCAATGACATCTTTCAAAGAGGCCACTTGCTTGTGGACAATGTCCAATTCGCCACGCAATGAAAGATTTTCTGAATTGGCCATTTGCAGAGCCAATTGGGCATTGGCCAATTCAATGTTGGCATGACGGCTGCGTGCCAAAGGATTCTCATCATCATCTCCATTGGCGTCATCATCGAGAAGTTCGTATTTAGTAGTGCGTTTGGTTAGGGCAGTGGCACCCTCTAGGTCAGAAGTAAACGGTGATTTTGGTGATTTTTCCAAGGGAGGAGACTCTTCAACCTTTTCCCCATTGCGTAGGCGACGTGATATATCACGTTCCGCATCCAATTGTTTGCGCAGCAGGGAAATTTCATCACGCAACCCCTGTATGGCAGATTGCCGAGTTTGACGTTTGAGACGCAATTCCTCTTTGAACTCTTCCAAACTTTGTTCTTTGGCGGAAGGTGATACAGAGGCTGCCTCAGATGTTGTCTGGGGCGAGGAGGAGAGCACCTCTTCAGTCTCCAATTTGCTGTGGTGATCATTGTCTTGACTCGATTCACTGAAGTGACGTACCCTTTGCTCTTCCATGGTATTTTTGATACGTGTCGTAAGGCGATGTAGACGCTCAAATTCTTCGTCATAGATGGCCGTCAGGGCCTCCTCGGGGGAGGTGGGCTGCTCTAGAATATCCTCCGGTGAAGGGGTGAAAACAGATGTTACATGAGGCACGTGATCTAGGGTAAATTCGGCACTCTCCACTTCTCGCCACCATAGATCCTCTTCCTCTCCCTCCTCGTTTTCCTCTGGCACGGAGGCAAAATGTACTCCCCGATAGGCAGCAGATCTGCGCCGTTGGCTGGAAGCAACAGCCTCTGAGATATCTTCTCCGATATTTTCACTAGGCATTGTTGTTGGTGGTGTTGTTGTTGTAGGTGTTGTTGGTGAATTTAATTCAGTCTCGGTTGGTTCATTACTGGCCATGTTGCCGAACAATGGCTGCTTATTTATGTAAAATCGGTCGACGTTTTACCCGACAAGCCCGGTGGGGTTTTCTTTTTCTTTCTTTTGTGTTGTTTTTTCTTCTTCTTTGATCTATTAACGATTATTGACACATACACACGCGATCTTTGGACGATGGGGGGTAGTGGTGGGACGTTTGGCAAATACAAAATTACATGAATAACAAAGGATCTTCTGCGGAATGGTGAAATTGCGTCTTCGTTTTCTTGTTTTTCTTTTCTTCTTCACAATAAAGCCCGATGAAATGTTACGATTTTTCGATAAAAACGCGGACGAACGATGCGCAAAGAATCACTCACTTTTACAGATATATATATTTTTATGTATGTATGTATAGATCCGTTATAGTATACATAAATGTCAAATTTTTCTTTTCGTTTTTTTTTTGCACAGAAAATTTTCCACTTTCAAACAGCTGGCTGGCTGACTGGCGGTAAAAACACTTTCTTTCCTTTTTTTCACTTTCTCAACACAAAATTTTCTTTCTTTGCGAAAATTCTATAGAAAAAATTAAAAAATCCGACTTCTATTCCCAGACGTTCCAAATATTTTTGTGACTTGTTGTCGTTGGCACTACTCGAGGAAAACTGACGGTTTGGTCAATGCTATTTTTAAAAATAGTATTTTCGAAAAATGAATTTCTTCATCTGTGGTTCATTTTCAAAATGAGCGAACGAGTGAATTGATCGAAGTATGTATATTTATGTTAGAGAGGTGGCGAGAGCGAGAAGTGGGAGAGAGTGGAAAATCGTTGTGACGGCAACTAACTAACTTGGTCTAATTAGTTCTCTTTTTGAGTTTGCTCTCTCGTTGGATGATATCTTAATGTCGGATAATAAAAATATGTAATAGGGTGTAATGACGTCGGTTTATCTATGTATATAATAGAATAGTAAAATAACTGACCGACTAATCTACAATCAACGCCCTGGAGAATCGGCTGAAAAAAAACCTCGAAATTTTGCACGAATACCAGTCTTGGTGCGTAGGCGTGCGATAAGGTCTGGCCCAAAAGGGTACGAAAAATACCAACATGTACTAAAATTTTAAAATTTTAATAAGGCAAACGGAATTAGCTAGAATTCGGAAATTTGGAATGACAGTCACTGATGAAGTGGAGGATAAATGCACCAAGGGTTTTTCGAAATTCTAACTTTAAGGTTACGAAAAGTTCTAAAATGGTACTAAACAACTAAAAATGTACCATGTAGTATTATGTTTGCGGGAGGGGCTAAAAACTTAAAATCAAGGTATGAGAATCAAGGTTGGAAAATAAGTTTTCGGAAATGTGTACTATAATTGTTCGAAAAGTCCTCAATGGTACTAAGCTGAGTGAAGGGAAGAGCTGAAATCCTGAAATTTGATATAGATGTCACTGTTGGTGTATGTGGTTGAGGTTAAAAATCCACGCCGATGGATCTGATGGTCCTTGTAAAAAAGTATTATTTAAAAATCTACGCTTATGGGTCTGATGGTCCTTGAAAAAATATTCTTTAAAAATTCACGCTTGCGGCTCTGATGGTACTGTTGGTTATGGGTCTGATGGTCCTTAAAAAAATATTCTTTAAAAATCCACGCTTATGGCTCTGATGGTCCTTAAAAAATATTCTTTAAATATCCACGCATATGGCTCTGGTCCTCGAAAAAATATTCTTTAAATATCCACGCATATGGCTCTGATGGTCCTTGAAAAAATATTCTTTGAAAATCCCCGCTTATGGCTCTGATGGTCCTTGAAAAAATATTCTTTAAAAATCCAAGCTCATGGCTCTGATGGTCCTTGAAAACTATTTATTTAAAATCCATTCCTATGGGTCTGATTGTCCTTGAAAAAATATTCTTTAAAAATCCAAGCTCATGGCTCTGATGGTCCTTGAAAACTATTTATTTAAAATCCATTCCTATGGGTCTGATTGTCCTTGAAAAAAATATTCTTTAAAAAACCCACGCTTATGGCACAGATGGTCCTTGCAAAAATATCCTTGAAAAGATTTTCTTTAAAAATCCACGCTTATGGCTCTGATGGTCCTTGAAAACATATTCTTTAAAAATCCACGCTTATGGCTCTGATGGTCCTTGAAAACATATTCTTTAAAAATCCACGCTTATGGCTCTGATGGTCCTTGAAAACATATTCTTTAAAAATCCACGCTTATGGCTCTGATGGTCCTTGAAAACATATTCTTTAAAAATCCACGCTTATGGCTCTGATGGTCCTTGAAAACATATTCTTTAAAAATCCACGCTTATGGCTCTGATGGTCCTTGAAAACATATTCTTTAAAAATCCACGCTTATGGCTCTGATGGTCCTTGAAAACATATTCTTTAAAAATCCACGCTTATGGCTCTGATGGTCCTTGAAAACATATTCTTTAAAAATCCACGCTTATGGCTCTGATGGTCCTTGAAAACATATTCTTTAAAAATCCACGCTTATGGCTCTGATGGTCCTTGAAAACATATTCTTTAAAAATCCACGCTTATGGCTCTGATGGTCCTTGAAAACATATTCTTTAAAAATCCACGCTTATGGCTCTGATGGTCCTTGAAAACATATTCTTTAAAAATCCACGCTTATGGCTCTGATGGTCCTTGAAAACATATTCTTTAAAAATCCACGCTTATGGCTCTGATGGTCCTTGAAAACATATTCTTTAAAAATCCACGCTTATGGCTCTGATGGTCCTTGAAAACATATTCTTTAAAAATCCACGCTTATGGCTCTGATGGTCCTTGAAAACATATTCTTTAAAAATCCACGCTTATGGCTCTGATGGTCCTTGAAAACATATTCTTTAAAAATCCACGCTTATGGCTCTGATGGTCCTTGAAAACATATTCTTTAAAAATCCACGCTTATGGCTCTGATGGTCCTTGAAAACATATTCTTTAAAAATCCACGCTTATGGCTCTGATGGTCCTTGAAAACATATTCTTTAAAAATCCACGCTTATGGCTCTGATGGTCCTTGAAAACATATTCTTTAAAAATCCACGCTTATGGCTCTGATGGTCCTTGAAAACATATTCTTTAAAAATCCACGCTTATGGCTCTGATGGTCCTTGAAAACATATTCTTTAAAAATCCACGCTTATGGCTCTGATGGTCCTTGAAAACATATTCTTTAAAAATCCACGCTTATGGCACAGATGGTCCTTGCAAAAATATCCTTGAAAAGATTTTCTTTAAAAATCCACGCTTATGGCTCTGATGGTCCTTGAAAAAATATTCTTTAAAAATCCAGGCATATAGCTCTGATGGTTCTTGAAAAAAATATTCTTAAAAATCCACGCATATTGGTCTGTTGGACCTTAAAAAATATTCTTTATAAATCCACTCATATGGCTTTGATGGACTTCGAAAAAATATTTTTTGTAGAATCCACGCATATGGCTTTAATGAAAAATTAATTTTGGAGAATCCAGGATTATGGCGCTTATGGTCCTTTGAAAATTTTTTTTCTTTAAAAATCCACGCATATGGCTTTAATGAAAAATTAATTTTGGAGAATCCAGGATTATGGCGCTTATGGTCCTTTGAAAAATTTTTTTCTTTAAAAATCCACGTCTATAGGTCTGATGGTACTGGAAAAAATTTTTTTCTTTAAAAATCCACGTCTATAGGTCTGATGGTCCTGGAAAAAATTTTTTTCTTTAAAAATCCACGTCTATAGGTCTGATGGTCCTGGAAAAAATTTTTTTCTTTAAAAATCCACGTCTATAGGTCTGATGGTCCTGGAAAAAATTTTTCTTTAAAAATCCACGTCTTTAGGTCTGATGGTCCTGGAAAAAATTTTTCTTTAAAAATCCACGCCTATAGGTCTGATGGTCCTTGAAAAAATATTCTTTAAAAATCCACGCCTATAGGTCTGATGGTCCTTGAAAAAATATTCTTTAAAAATCCACGCCTATAGGTCTGATGGTCCTTGAAAAAATATTCTTTAAAAATCCACGCCTATAGGTCTGATGGTCCTTGAAAAAATATTCTTTAAAAATCCACGCCTATAGGTCTGATGGTCCTTGAAAAAATATTCTTTAAAAATCCACGCCTATAGGTCTGATGGTCCTTGAAAAAATATTCTTTAAAAATCCACGCCTATAGGTCTGATGGTCCTTGAAAAAATATTCTTTAAAAATCCACGCCTATAGATCTGATGGTCCTTGAAAAAATATTCTTTAAAAATCCACGCCTATAGGTCTGATGGTCCTTGAAAAAATATTCTTTAAAAATCCACGCCTATAGGTCTGATGGTCCTTGAAAAAATATTCTTTAAAAATCTACGCCTATAGGTCTGATGGTCCTTGAAAAATTATTCTTTAAAAATCCACGCGTATTGGGCTGTTGGTCCTTGAAAAATATTCTTTAAAAATCGAAGCTTATGGCTCTAATGGTCCTTGAAAAAATATTCTTTAAAAATCGAAGCTTATGGCTCTGATGTTCCTTAAAAAAATATTCTTTAAAAATCCACGCTTCTGGCTCTGATGGTCCTTGAAAAAATATTCTTTAAAAATCCACGCTTCTGGCTCTGATGGTCCTTGAAAAAATATTCTTTAAAAATCCACGCTTCTGGCTCTGATGGTCCTTGAAAAAATATTCTTTAAAAATCCACGATTTTAATACTGATGGTCCTTGAAAAAATATTCTTTACAAATCCACGCTTATGGCTCTGATGGTCCTTGAAAAATATTCTTTTAAAAATCCACGCTATTGGCTCTGAGGGTCCTTGAAAAAATATTCTTTCAAAATCCACGCTTTATCACTGGTCCTAGAAGAAAATATTCTTTAAAAATCCACGCTTATAGTCTGATGTTCCTTGAAAAATATTCTTTTAAAATCCACGCCTATAGGTCTGATAACTCTTATAGTCATCTTTAAAAATCCAAGACAAAAATTGTCTTTAGTCTTTCATTTTCTTTTCCCAGTTGCTGCTATTGTTCTTTTTTTTCTTCTTACATTCACATGACTCAATCTGTCATCTCCTCCGTCCGTCCATGTGTGTGTGTGTGAATGTGTTCTTTTTTATTATTATTTTGTAACAAAATGTCAAATTTGATTTGTCTAAATTGAATCAGGTGTGCTTTTCTTCTCTGATGGTCCTTGAAAAAATATTCTTTAAAAATCCACCCTTCTGGCTCTGATGGTCCTTGAAAAAATATTCTTTAAAAATCCACCCTTCTGGCTCTGATGGTCCTTGAAAAAATATTCTTTAAAAATCCACGCTTCTGGCTCTGATGGTCCTTGAAAAAATATTCTTTAAAAATCCACGCTTCTGGCTCTGATGGTCCTTGAAAAAATATTCTTTAAAAATCCAAGCCTATAGGTCTGATGGTCCTTGGAAAAATATTCTTTAAAAATCCACGCTTGTGGCTCTGATGGTCCTTGGAAAAATATTCTTTAAAAATCCACGCTTGTGGCTCTGATGGTCCTTGGAAAAATATTCTTTAAAAATCCACGCTTGTGGCTCTGATGGTCCTTGGAAAAATATTCTTTAAAAATCCAAGCTCATGGCTCTGATGGTCCCTGAAAACTATTCATTTAAAATCCATTTTTATGGGTCTGATTGTCCTTGAAAAAAATATTCTTTAAAAATCCACGCCTATAGGTCTGATGGTCCTTGAAAAAATATTTTTTAAAAATCCACGCTTATGGCTCTAATGGTCCTTGAAAAAATATTCTTTAAAAATCGA